GGGGGGGGGGGGGGGGGGGGTAACGGCGGCGGCGGCGGGGCCCCCGTCGACGGAAGTTCCGCCGCGTACGGCTGGAAGCAGCGGCTCGGTCTCGCGGTTCACGAGGCGTTTTGCTCGGCGAGGATAGCGGAGCTGTTCGACATCATCGCTGACTACCCGGATAGTGCCGTGGCGATCGGGGAGCTGAAGGTATGTGCATGTGTATGTATGCGCCGTGAGGTTTACATATTTATGTGTGGTGGAAGTTGTAAAGAAAGTCACATGTGCGTGCGCCCTGAGATTAATTTTGCGGGGGGGGGGAAGTTGTAGAGCTGGCGATGCGTTGGGTGTCGAGGGCGAAAGACTGGGCTCTACTGAGAGATGTAGAATCGGCCCTGGTGACTGCATGGGGGGAGTAACTCCTAGTCCGCACTGGAAGGATGTTTTTTTTGTATTTTGTGCCCTAACCCCCCCCCCCCCCCCCCCCCCCCCCCCCCCCCCCCCCCCCCCCNTGCTGCTCTAAGATGGTAGCCCCCCCCCCTGCCCCCCCCCCCCCCCCCCCCCCCTGCTCGGGTTCCCGTCTAACTACAACGCCTTTACCCTCCTCTGCCGTCTATCCATCGATTTCCCACCCATCCTACCCCCACACGACCTCCTTGGCCTTGCTTTCCGCCTAACCTACGGCAATGCGGGCCCGCAGCTAACACGTATGAACACAAGTCGCAAAGTTGGCGAGTAACAAGAAATGCAGCCATATCAGCCGACGAGGATCCTCCCTTACATCTCCATAGAAAGACCTGCACTCGACGGTGGTGACGACACAAGGTACTCGACGGTGGTAATGACGACATACGGTACTCGACGGTGGTGACGAAAGAAGGTACTCGACGAATTGAGGTATACGACGGTAGTGATATATTAAGGTACTCGGCCGCGGTGACGACATAAGGTACTGGGCGATTGTGACGACATACGGTACTCGACGGTGGTCTAAATAAGGTACTCGTTGGTGGTAACGAAGACATAAGAACGCAATCCTCCATCCCGAACTGACGCTTCTCGTCCCCGGGCCCCTCCGTATTTTCTGCCGTGTGTGTGTCTCATGTCTCGCCAGACCGCCCTGGGGGTTACGCAACAGCATCAGAGGCTGGCGGTGCTACTGCGCGAGAGCGTGAGGAGGCGTTTGCTACACCCGGGGGCTAACACGCACCAGATCATCGACGTTTACATCGCCACCATCAAGGTCCTTCGCATCCTTGATCCGAAGGTGTGTGTGTGTGTGTGGGGGGGG